CATCTTTTGTATGTATTTTATGCTTTCTAAAATATAGGTATGAAATACGATTTTTATGCATATGCAAATACATACAATACCTTCTTAATACATAAAAAATGTTTTTTACTATAAAAATAAGTAAAAAAAATGTATTTTATACATATAATGTACATACAATATATATGTATGTTATATTTATATTACGATGTTTATATGTTTAAACATTAAATTAATTGTTTTTACAGATATACAAATACTATTTGTATATATAAATCTATTTCACGAAAAGAATGTTAGATACCAAAAAAATTCTAAGTTTTACACACTTTGTTGGAACAAAACTTAAGTTTTCTTTTACGTCAAAAGCATAAGTTTTATGAGAACCTTTCATTTTAAAAAAAGATTTGGGTGACCGGATAATAGCTTTATAGTGCAAGGTCATCCAAAAAATTAGCGTTTTAACCAATAAAAAAGAATTTTACAACTTTTCCCAACTATACGTGAAAAGCTTAAGACTTTTTGATATTTGTTTTATAGATTACGGTTGTTAGATCAGTACTCTATAACCTTTTAAATAGGAGACGTCCCTCTTAGACTACTGTTGATTATCTGTATTGTATTTGTCTTTTTAACCGTATTGTATTTGATATTTTGTATTGGATCTGGATCCAGAGAGAGAGAGAGATCCGTATGTGGGGCTTAGGAGGGAATTTACGAAATACTTGTAATTAGCTTTAAGTATTATCATTTGACAAAAATTAATAAAAAAAATTATATAAGTTAATTGAAAAAAGGTATTTTCTTTATTTCACAAGGTTGGGGGCAGGACGGTGTGTACAACAAAAGCTATTTGTAAGGATTAAATTGAAAAAAACAATAAAAAATAAAATAAAAATAAAAATAAACTCGACCAAAGTTGTTTATTCTCATCATACCACAAGGACTGTTCACGTAATTCAACCTTTTGTTTGTTTACTCCCTAATTTGCAGGTCGGTCTACACGATACAACACATTATAATTTAAACAATACTTCTGATAAAATTACCCCTCTGCAATCATCAGTTCTATTCTTCCGGGATGGATCCCTCAGTCTTTCGTGGATAAAATTTCCTACTTTCAGCGATACCATCATCAACAACATCAGGTTTAAACTCAGGATTACCACTAGAATATGGTCTTATTGATGAAATACTTGGCAGTTGCCCATAACTTTGATCAGCGACACCATTATAATCATCACCAGCTGTCCACTGACCATTAAGTGCTTTGTAGTGGTTCTTCAAAGTGCTTCCAGTCATATTGTGACTTGCACCATGTGGTGAATCGAAGTAAGGATTAACACTGGAATATGCTCTTATTGATGAAAAACTTGGTGGCTCCGCATAACTTTGAGTAACAGATAAACGACTTTCAACCTGCGGATGTTTATCATTTCTAGAAGAACTTAAAGACAACGGATGTTTATTAGCAGTTGAATAGGCCGGAGCTGGTTCTTCTGTTGCATGCTCACCTTCTTCCGGAAACTCAGGTTCTGGGTTCCTAAGAGGGTTCTTGACAACTCCCCATGATGTAGAAGGCGGTTGATAGTTAGAACTCATTTCGAGCCAGGAGAAGCAAGTTTTCCCAAAGGTTTTTTTTTTTTTTTTTTGGGAGAGGGGTGTTGATAATAGAAATCAGATGGCCTACATATAGATGGACGGGGTCTCATTGTTTCAACACCAACAAATACATTATTTACAAGAGGAAAACCCTCAGGTTAATTTATTGGTTTCCCACATATACTCAGACGATATGTTGTTATTAATAAGTCCAACACGTTATTAATTTATAGTTAAAATTCCTGTCATTTGTTTCTCACATAATATTAAATTGCGTCGGATATTAACAAACTTAAGTTAATGTTTAACAACGTAAATGGTTATAGATCAAACATTTTATAATACATAACAAGCAAGTGGATGAAATTAAATTAAAAACAAGATGAATACTCAACTTGTACTAATTAAAATAGACTGTTCAAAAAATTAAAAACCGATAACTTGTATTAAAATACTATATATTATTGACTCCTGACTTTATTAAGTCCTTAAATCACGGATCACTCCAAATCAACACATATTTAGTAAAGTAAACATATTATTTTAATGTTTAGCTAAAAAAATCATAAGACTTAAATACAATCGTATTTAACTTTAACTCTTCAATACAATTCAAATATCCAGGTTGTATAGTAAGGTAGTCATCCACTAAAATCATCTATGTACACTAGTACAAAAAGCGTTTAATGATGCGGTTAAATTGATTATTTGGTGCGGGTATTCAACCGCACCAAATAATATAGCATCAAAAAACACCTCTATTTAATGATGTGGTTTCAAAACCACCCCAAAAGTAGTCAAAATCGCCCCAAAAAAAGATTCCTGAAAAATAGCCAAAACCGCACCATTAAACATCATCATCTTCCTTGCAGAACTCTGGATCAGAAATCCATCTCTCATCAACTACAACTTCAGGAGGTTACCCACCTACTAATACAACCAATCAAATATGATATATGCAACCTCTATGTTGACAGTGTACACCGCCTGCCATCTTCACCTGAAAACCATCACCAACACTGTTAATCAGAAAAGAGGAAGAAAAGATGTGGTAACATTATGGAAATGTATGTACTAAAGGAGTAAAATTGTCGAACACTTGGTGGGTAAGATTTAAAAAGAAGATGGTGGAACATCCACCTGTTACAGCCACCAAAAAACCATTGCCACGTTCGTTAACCATCAAAACCGCTGCCATCTTCACCGAAAACCCATCACCGCCACTTTGAATCGAAAAAAAGAAGAAGAAAAGAAGTGGTAACAGTGGTACGATTTAAAAACAAGAGGGAAGAACTTACCAAGTTGCCATCTAGAAGGATGGAAGAATCACAAAGACGGAAGTATATTTGTTTCTTGGATGAGTAGAACATCGGACAAACAAAAAACAATAATGCTTCCTACCACAAGTATATACTCTGAAGTGTGGAGGGAAATGAAAAATTAGAACCAAATTTTAGGGGTAAATGAAAAATTAAATGGTGCAGTTCTCGGGTATTTAATGGTGCATTTTTATAGTGTTTAATGGTGCGGTTTTCAACTAACGCACCAATAAATGCGTTTTTAATGGCTTTTACTGCGATAAGGAAAACGCACCAATAAATGCTTTCATAATCTTGTTTTGGACTAGATTGCACTAAAAAAACCGACAACATCATTAAATGCTTTCTCTACTCACGGTACATTCGAGAACTACAATCCACTATATTGGTACATTCGAGAACTACAATCCACTATATCAATTTACTGTAGTTCATAGCCATCTATACCAATATTTTTTAGCTCACAAAAATTTCAACTAAATTAGTAATTTAACTCTCATAGTATAGTTTATCTATAATTCAACTAATTCAGTTCATTACCTCAAATAACAATAACCTGTTATCAAATCCAATCATACCGGTTTAATACATCTCTCAACCCCAATTAATTCTATAAGTTCTTAACCTATAGCATGTCAATTCATAATAATCATAATATTGTATCTATTACACTAAGCAATAATAAACACACATCTAGATAACATTTATCTAGAAGAGGATTATTATTACTCACCCAACTATTTAGTGCAAACTAACTATTATTCTGGTGATAAACATTATACTGCTTCTAATTCATCACTTCTCCAACCCTATTTGGACAATACATCAAGTTCATTAGAACTTGTCTAATTAAAATCATCATTATATCAGCCACTATGATCAACTACATGATCGTTAACTTGTCTAAACTAGGTAACCATTTGTTGCCAAAGTCATCAAATTTCATATTATAAATGCTAAAAAACATAACCCCATAAGCAGTTATCCCAGTCTCACATAACTGACAGTTTTGTAAATCAGGGTTTACAACCCTCACTGGACAAATTCAGAGTCCCATTGTAACACTCCAATCCAGGTATTCCATTTTAGCCCTTGAAGTATTTCTTTTTGGCAAATTAGGACCTTCGGTACGCTGGGCGTACATATGCGTACGGTTGAGCATGCATCAGAGAGTTGAGGCTCACAGGCGGGGCGTACTAGCATGTACGCGGGGCGTACGAGGCCAAAGACCAAAAACCCTAATTTCATGACTTGCACCCTATTTAAACAACCTTATATCATTTGGACCAAACCCTAATCAGCCTCCATAGGCTCATTTCTTCCTTAAACTCTATATTTGCAAGAAAGTTTTAGATTTGAGCTTAAAGGTGTACAAGTATTGATCAAGGAATGAGCCTTTGGATCCTGTATCTAGAGCATCTTGGAGTTGTTAGAACAAATTTCTAGTAGGATCGATAGATTCTAAGCAGATAAACAATTAAAGACGTAACGATGAACACAAGAATGGATTAACTGATGTCGTATGATTAAACTTTAACACCTCAGAAGAGCTCGATTAAGAACTTCCACTGTAGAGGTGTTTAGGGTTACAAAAGCAATAATCACTATAAACACGTTGGTTTCTAAGGCATACATGCATGCACTATTTATAGCTAAACCCTATAATAATCACAGATGGACAGACCCAATCCGGATATACAAAATAAGCCCATGACGCAACACAATAATATTCCCAACAATCTCCCCCTTTGCGTCAATGGAGCCGAAAGCTCATTTCGGTTGAGCTATAGAAGACTTCTTGATGGTCTTGAACACCTTCGGTATGATGGCCAGCAGATGATGACGAAAAGTGATATACCACCGAAGCATGTCCGTGAGTTCTTCTTGTCTGCTTTAGAGTTCTGCTTGCACCGATGAATGATACTGATAATGTGCTCTAAGCAGTCCGTTGAGAACAGATGCTTGTCAACAAGAGCGAACAAAAAACGATTGGCTTCGCCTCTTGTGAACATCACTGTAAGATGTGTAGAATCGATTTGGCCCATCCTCATTTTATTCACATCTCCAGGTTTTTCTGTTGCCTTAACTGTCGGTTTCTTTTTCATAACTTTAGCTATCTCCTGATCCATTGCAGCTACTTCATGGATATAGGAGGCCAACATCCTCTTCAAATGATCTAGGATCGGCTCATATTCTTTCGCATTGGTGAGCAGTATGTTAAACAACAGGATCCAATCATGAGGATTCAAATTTGGAAGATCTGCCAGGGAAATAATCGAAACCGAGTTTGCTGATCCTCG